ATGGGGCGGGGGTTGGGGCTGGGGCTCTTCGTGCGCCTCTCCCGCCCCGCTCGTCTCGCGGCCTCGCCGCGCCTTGCGCGCCGCGCTGCCGCTCGGCCTGAGACACTCATCATCGGTAATGTTGACTATTATAGCGGCCTGATTGGTCGAGCCTCTCGCCCTCCCCCGTGCTCGGCTTTGCCGGGCCTGCCGAGCCTGCCGAGCCTGCCGAGCCTGCGGCGGAAGTCTGCCCCAAGGATTTGCCTGGAGGCGGAGCAGGGGTCGTGTTTCAGAACCCTCGAGCAGCGCGACGTTAACTGAAATTAATGACTCGGCCGCCGCTGCAGAGATAGTGAGACTGACGCTCATCAGAGCAGCGCGGCCAAAGCACCAGGCGCACTCAGGCACGCCCCGCCCCGCCCCGCCACGCCCCGCCACGCCCCGCCACGACACCACGAGCTCATTTGTTGCTCGCTTGCAATTTCATAAAATGAGGATGGGGAGTATTATCCGCATTTCTTGGCGTCGGCGGCGTCACTCCGCTGCTGTCCGGCTGCCGCAGTCCGGGGCCCTTTGCCGTCCTGGCGGGGGGCAACCTCCTCAAAACTGAGCTCATTATGGCGATGGCGATCCTCCCGCCATCGTCGCGCCGGGCTTTTTAATCCGATGACACTTTGGACGTCACTTTTGAATCAATGATGAGTCGGGTCGGGCGGGGCGGCGCCGGCAGCCCGTGGTGAGCGCGTGCTCACAGCCCATCGCTCAGGCCCGGGCTCCTCCGGGCGCCCCCGCCCGCCTCGCCAGCGAGCAGCACTCGGCAACTTGGAGAGCGGCGGAGATTAGCGGTCGGGCCCCAGCGGGCTGAATCCAGTTCATCCAGCAGACGCTGCTGGATTTTGCAGCTTCCCTCCCAGCAGAGCCCTATCGCGCCATCGCTGTACCTGCGCTTCTCTCCGCACTTGCACACCGTGTTGAAACACACACTCAGAAATTTTTCCTACCCTGTGGCCACAAAACATTCAGCAGCCCCCGAACGGAAAGTTTTCGGGACGCACTAAACGCGTTGTTCCTGGAACGAAACTCTCGTTCATGGCTCTAACTTTGCATCACCCCGCACCCCATAGCGTTTAGTGCTGGGAACTAAAGAGTTTTCGTCGAGAACAAAGTGTGACGCAGTAAACCGGTGTAGTGGCAGGGGGCGGGAGGGGGGAGGGATTTCACAACAGTAAATAACCCCATTCCCATTACTTCCGCGCTTGCCATACCGCCGGGATATAACGCGCGCTGCTCCCCAGGCACTCATCAGTTCGCTCATCCATCCGTCTTTTTCGCAGTTCGCGGCGGGCTGACGCTGCGCGAGGGAATCCACATCATGGAGAAGGTGCACGAGACGGGCCGGCTGGCCGCCGTGGACCTGGTGGAGGTGAACCCCGGCCTGGGCAGCGAGCGCGACGTGCGCACCACGGTGCAGGCCGCGCTGCAGCTGCTCATGGCCGCCTTCGGCCACTCCAGGCTGGGCAACATGCCGCGCGCCCAGGAGCTGCCCCTCACCAAGGGCGCCACCCTGACGACGGCCAAGGGCGCCGCGGGCACGGGCACGGGCGCGGCCACGGCCACGGGCGCGGCCACGGCCTCCAAGGACGGCTGACGGGCACCCTAGGCTGGACAACAGGCCGCGCGCCCAGGAACTGCCCCTCACCAAGGACACCACCCTGCCGGCTAAGGGCGCCGCGGGCACGGGCGTGGCCACGACCTCCAAGGGCAGCTGAAGGGCGCGCCAGGCTGGCCCCGGGCTCCCTGATGGCGCAGTCCCTCTGCCACGGATCACGGATCATCCACCGCCTCACGATAGCTGCTGCTGTTTGAATTTTGTCATTGTTTCCGAAGGGGAATGGAAATATCCGGTCCGCTTTGACTGCTGTGCAGTCTTTGATATGTGCTTAGAGTGTAAACCCTCATGCCGACCATTGTGTCGTCATTACTTATTCCAAAGATGTATTAATAGAATTGTTTTAATTGAAATATACATAAAATTTACATCACAGAGCATGGTTTGACACGACTGCCGAATCGTCAGGCATCTCGGGTTCCAATCAGAAGTCCACAAGTTGGCGCGGGGGAGTAGCAGAGTGCCGCCGGCGTCGTGCAGGTCAGGCCGCCCTTCGCCCGCTCCCGTCCGTCAGCAGCAGGGCAGACAAGACCTCTTCTTCGCGCTTTCGAAGAACATGTATTCCTGCGGGCGGAGTGGAGGGATGAGTAGCCGTAACTGTATCTCTCTGCCATATACCTTCAACAACTTTTCTCTTCACCCCCAAGCCCATAAGCAGGCCCTGGATGCTCTGCGCAAGGTCGTTGGTGGCATGGTGGAGGTGCCCGTCAACACCGAGACCGAGACGTTCGTTATTTTCTCCCGCTCGTCCCCCCGGGGCTGCAGGGGGCTGCGCTGCTGACTGCGTCGGGCTTAACTCCCCGGTGATCACGGCGCCGCCGCCGCCCTACGCGTGACCCCATGGGGCCCCGCGGCAACCCCCGGCAGCCAGCGGGGCGGGGCGGGGCGGGCGGAGCCGAGAGCCGAGAGCCGGCTACGGGCTTACGTCTCGCCACACCCATCAACTATTCACGAGTTGCAAACTTTTTCGTTCGGTGTGTGTTTGTGTGTCTGAGTGTGTGTGTTTTACACATGTACGTCCATGAGGAGTGAGCGCGCGCGCGCGCGCGTGTGTGTGTGTGTGTGCGTGCGCGCGTACTTAGGCGGTGTCATCAGCGAAGGCTTATCGAGCCGCCCCCAACATCGACACTGACCAGTAAGAAGGCGGCCGACAGGATGAGCGCCTTGTGGTGCACGTTGAGCTCGGCGCTGGGGAAGATGATCCGCGTGACGAGCGACGACACCGACGGCTTCCACTGGTGGGAGATGGCGCCCAGCTCCACGAGGCCGTCGCGACTCGTGATCTGGCGACGGCGAGGAGTAAGTGAGTGCGCGTGACTCTGTTTCCCGACGTTTTGACACAATTCCCAGCGTGATGCCTCGTGACACAACTTTCGTCATTAGTCCGCGGTAAAAGCAATGTCTGAGGGCGAAGGGAAAACTTTGAGGAGCGCCTATATCCGAGGGAAAATTCCTCAGATTTTCTCAAAATCTGACGAGTTTTCCCGTTTTCCCTCAAATATGGAAGTTCCTCAAAGTATTCCCTTCCCCCTCACGAAAATCAGACTTTGCTTCTACCGTGTCCGGTCGACTCTGGCTCACATTACCTTGAAGACGGCCTCTCGAACGGTGCACTCCCAGGGCCGCATCACGGGCCCGACGACGCGGTAGATGACGTTGCCGGCGCTGTCGCGCACGGACAGCTCGGGTGCGAGCCAGGCCCACTCCTGGGCGACGGCGCCGAGGGGCCGGCCGGGCGGCAGCAGCACGTCGAGCCTCTGCATGTAGCAGCAGCAGCAGCCCAGCAGCCCCAGCGGGCCGCCGCCACACGCCAGGCGCCGGCTCAGGTGCAGCGACTCCTGCCGGCTCGGGTCGTACACGCGCATCCGCAGCCCCCGCGACGACCCCACGCACTGCCGCTGCCACTGCGGCGACGTCTCGGCCGCCACGAGCAGCGTGTCGCCTTGCGCCGACTTCACCACGTACCGGTTCTCGGACTCGACCGACGACAGCACTGCGGAAATGCGCACAAAAATGATACCCGTGAAAATGGTCATTGGGAACTTCCTCCTAGGTTGCCGGTTTCCTGTGAACGCCGAAGGAGTACTTCACCATAAATTCAAGCGTATGCCAGTTTTTTCTGTTTTTTATTTCTTAATTTTCCCTGATTTTCCTTATTTTTAATTGATTTTTTTTAAATGACTTCTTCTTGACTTTTACTAGATTTTTTCTGATTTTTTAAAACTTTTCTACACGACTGATCAGTGAAGTACTCCTTGGTGCACCTGCCGGGAGTAGGGTGGTGGGCGGTGAGCGATGCTTACGGTCGTCGAGCTCCACCGTCTGCTGGATCTCCACGGCCTCCAGGCCGGCGAGCAGGTGCAGGCCGGAGTAGGGCACGTCCAGCCCCCGCGAGACTGTGGAAACAAGGCGCGCCACGCATTAGGCTCTGGGCTGGCGCTGGCGGAAGCGCTGGCGGCCGGCAGCTGCCGCGGAGTGTTGTGTTCGCATGCAGTATTCAGATGGGAGCGGCTAGTCTGGCCCCAGGCTAAGCAGGCAGCAGGCGGCCCCCATTAAGAGTTTTGCGTTTAATGATGTTTGTAAAGTGATCCCCGGAACAAAGCAAAGTAGTGTACTGCCCCGCTATACAGTGTTACACGCTGCTTCCAAAAAAACAGCTGTTCCTCTTTTCTCTGTTCCCATCCCTCCCCCTTCGCACACATCTATGTCCCCCTTCCTCACATCTTTGTGATTGAGGTGCGGAGTCTCACATTACGACATCTCACGCACAATGCGTATCTTCTCCCTCGGATCCTGGAGATCTCATCCCCTCCTCCCTCCTTTTCCCTATGCGGCATAACAGCGCATCTTCCACCACATCCCCTTCGCTTGGCCTGCCTGCGGCCTGCGGACGGGCGGGCCACTTGGGTCTCTCTAGGCCAACAGCCCACTGGGACACTCCTACCTCAGCAGGAGAAGTGCCACAGCTGCGCTCTGTTGGCCCCTCCCCTTCCTCCCTCGAGTCCTAGGCGTCTCATTCCTATTGAAATTTCCTCCCCATTTCCGACGGCTGCCCCCCGCCCCCTACCTCGCTTTTGGTCCTCCTGCTCCCCTTCCCCTCCCCCTTCTGCTCCTTCTGAGACCGCGATTTAAAAGAAAGGGGAGGGGTACATGGCGTGCAGGCAATGAAAGGGGCCGGGTCCCCGATTCCTTGGGAAACACCTACGCAAACACCCCGGGGGCGCTCTGCCCGGCTCTGCCCCTCCCCTTCCAACGTCTCCCACATCCATACAAATGCACGCGCGTGCCACATATGGTCTCGCACATCCCCTAAAAGACCACGGGACGTCGCGCGCCACACTAAGCCTCCATTTACTTTCGCCTTCTTTGTCTGTCTGTCCGTCCGTTCGTCCGTCCGTCCGTCCGTTTGTCTGTCGGTCTCTCTCCCCCTCCCTCCCTTCCTCTTTCCCTCCTTCCTTCCCT